GTGGAACCATAGCCCTTAGGTCTTTATGATATTTTTTGACTATTTGAGGACCATCTATGTTCAAAAGATATCATAAGGACCTAAGAGCTATGGTTCTGCAGCTAAAAATGGTAAGGTTGATTGATCTATTTCATTTTATATATTTTCATGTGTATGGTTGTATATATATTTATTTTTTTATATAGGTTACTTCAAAGAATTGATGGTAAGGTAGCTGTATAAGAACCGTAGCTCTTAGGTCTTATGATATTTTTTGACTATTTGAAGACCATCTATGTTCACTAAATATCATAAGGACATAAGAGCTATGGTTCCGCAGCTAAAAATAGTAAGGTTGATTGATCTATTTCATTTTATATATTTTCATGTGTATGGTTGTATATATATTTATTTTTTTATATAGGTTACTTCAAAGAATTGATGGTAAGGTAGCTGCGAAACCTTAGCTCTTAGGTCTTTATGATATTTTTTGACTATTAGAGGACCATATATGTTCAATAAATATAATGACCTAAGAGCTAGCTCGTTTCGCAGCTAATAGTAAGGTTGATTGATATATTTCATTTTATATATTTTCATGTGTATGGTTGTATATATATTTTTATTTTATATAGGTTACTTCAAAGAATTGATGGTAAGGTAGCTGTGGAACCGTAGCCCTTAGGTCTTTATGATATTTTTTGACTATTTGAGGACCATCTATGTTCAATAGATATCATAAGGACCTAAGAGCTATGGTTCTGCAGCTAAAAATGGTAAGGTTGATTGATCTATTTCATTTTATATATTTTCATATGTATGGTTGTATAAATATTTATTTTTTTACATAGGTTACTTCAAAGAATTGATGGTAAGGTAGCTGCGGAACCGTAGCTCTTAGGTCTTAAGATATTTTTTGACTATTTGAAGACCATCTATGTTCAATAAATATCATAAGGACAGAAGAGCTATGGTTCCGCAGCTAAAAATAGTAAGGTTGATTGATCTATTTCATTTTATATATTTTCATGTGTATGGTTGTATATATATTTATTTTTTTATATAGGTTACTTCAAAGAATTGATGGTAAGGTAGCTGCAAAACCGTAGCTCTTAGGTCTTTATGATATATTTTGACTATTTTAGGACCATCTATGTTCAATAAATATCATAAGGACATAAGAGCTACAGTTTGCAGCTAAAGTAGTACGGTTGGTTGATCTATTTCATGTATATATTTTCATGTGTATGATTGTATATATTTATTTTTTATATAGGTTACTTCAAAGAATTGATGGTAAGGTAGCTGCGGAACCCTAGCTCTTAGGTCTTAATGATATTTTTGGACTATTTGAGGACCATCTATGTTCAATAAATATCATGAGGACCTGAGAGCTATGGTTTGTAGCTAAAAGTAAGGTAGATTGATCTATTTCATTTTATATATTTTCATGTGTATGGTTGTATATATGTTTATTTTTTATATAGGTTACTTCAAAGAATTGATGGTAAGGTAGCTGCGGAACCCTAGCTCTTAGGCCTTTATGATATTTTTGGACTATTTGAGGACCATCTATGTTCAATAAATATCATAAGGACCTAAGAGCTATGGTTCTGCAGCTAATAGTAAGGTCCATTGATCTATTTCATTTTATATATTTTTCATGTGTATGGTTGTATATATATTTATTTCTTATATAGGTTACTTCAAAGAATTGATGGTAAGGTAGCTGTGGAACCATAGCTCTTAGGTCTTTATGATATTTTTTGACTATTAGAGGACCATATATGTTCAATAAATATGAGGACCTAAGAGCTATGGTTCCACAGCTAAAAATAGTATGGTTGATTGATTTATTTCATTTTATATATTTTCATGTGTATGGTTGTATATATATTTATTTTTTTATATAGGTTACTTCAAAGAATTGATGGTAAGGTAGCTGCGAAACCATAGCTCTTAGGTCTTTATGATATATTTTGACTATTTGAGGACCATCTATGTTCAATAAATATCATAAGGACCTAAGAGCTACAGTTTGCAGCTTTAATAGTAAGGTTGGTTGATCTATTTCATTTTATATATTTTCATGTGTATGGTTGTATATATATTTATTTTTTTATATAGGTTACTTCAAAGAATTGATGGTAAGGTAGCTGCGAAACCGTAGCTCTTAGGTCTTTATGATATATTTTGACTATTTGAGGACCATCTATGTTCAATAAATATCATAAGGACCTAAGAGCTACAGTTTGCAGCTTTAATAGTAAGGTTGGTTGATCTATTTCATTTTATATATTTTCATGTGTATGGTTGTATATATATTTATTTTTTGTATAGGTTACTTCAAAGAATTGATGGTAAGGTAGCTTTATAAGAACCGTAGCTCTTAGGTCTATATGTTATTTTTTGACTATTTGAGGACCATCTATGTTCAATTAGTATCATAAGGACCTTAGAGCTACAGTTTGCAGCTCAAATAATAAGGTTGGTTTATCTATTTCATTTTATATATTTTCATGTGTATGGTTGTATATATATTTTTTTTTTTTATAGGTTACTTCAAAGAATTGATGGTAAGGTAGCTGCAGAACCGTAGCTCTTAGGTCTTTATCATATTTTTGGACTATTTGAGGACCATCTATGTTCAATAAATTTAAGGACCTCAGAGCTAGCTGGTTCCGCAGCTATAAATAGTAAGGTTGGTTGATCTATTTCATTTTATTTGTTTTCATGTGTATGGTTGTATATATATTTATTTTTTATATAGGTTACTTCAAAGAATTGATGGTAAGGTAGCTGGAGAACCGTAGCTGTTAGGTCTTTATGATATTTTTTTACTATTTGAGGACTATATATGTTCAATAAATATCATAAGGACCTAAGAGCTAGCTCGTTCCGCAGCTAATAGTAAGGTTGATTAGTTTCATTTTATATATTTTCATGTGTTTGGTTGTATATATTTATTTTTTATATAGGTTACTTCAAAGAATTGATGGTAAGGTAGCTGTGGAACCGTAGCTCTTAGATCTTTATGATATATTTTGACTATTAGAGGACCATATATGTTCAATAAATATGAGGACCTAAGAGCTATGGTTCCACAGCTAAAAATAGTATGGTTGATTGATCTATTTCATTTTATATATTTTCATGTGTATGGTTGTATATATATTTATTTTTTTATATAGGTTACTTCAAAGAATTGATGGTAAGGTAGCTGCAGAACCGTAGCTGTTAGGTCTTTATGATATTTTTTTACTATTTGAGGACCATATATGTTCAATAAATATCATAAGGACCTAAGAGCTAGCTGGTTGGGCAGCTAAAAGTAAGGTTGATTGATCTATTTCATTTTATATATTTTCATGTATATGGTTGTATATATATTTATATTTTATATAGGTTACTTCAAAGAATTGATGGTAAGGTAGCTTCTGAACTGTAGCTCTTAGGTCTTTATGATATTTTTTGACTATTTGAGGACCATCTATGTTCAATAGATATCATAAGGACCTAAGAGCTATTGTTCCGCAGCTAAAAATAGTAAGGTTGATTGATCTATTTCATTTTATATATTTTCATGTGTATGGTTGTATATATATTTATTTTTTTATATAGGTTACTTCAAAGAATTGATGGTAAGGTAGCTGCAGAACCGTAGCTCTTAGGTCTTTATCATATTTTTTAACTATTTGAGGACCATCTATGTTCAATAAATATAAGGACCTTAGAGCTAGCTGGTTCCGCAGCTATGAATAGTAAGGTTGGTTGATCTATTTCATTTTATATATTTTCATGTGTATGGTTTTATATATATTTATTTTTTACATAGGTTACTTCAAAGAATTGATGGTAAGGTAGCTGCGGAACCGTAGCTCTTAGGTCTTTATGATATTTTTTGACTATTTGAAAACCATCTATGTTCAATAAATATCATAAGGACCTAAGAGCTACAGTTTGCAGCTTAAATAGTAAGGTTGGTTGATCTTTTTCATTTTATATATTTTCATGTGTATGGTTGTATATATATTTATTTTTTATATAGGTTACTTCAAAGAATTGATGGCAAGGTAGCTGCGGAACCGTAGCTCTTAGGTTTTTATGATATTTTTTGACTATTTGAGGACCATCTATGTTCAATAAATATAAGGACCTAAGAGCTAGCTGGTTCTGCAGCTATAAATAGTAAGGTTGGTTGATCTATTTCATTTTATATATTTTCATGTGTATGGTTGTATATATATTTATTTTTTTATATAGGTTACTTCAAAGAATTGATGGTAAGGTAGCTGCGGAACCGTAGCTCTTATGTCTTTATGATAATTTTTTTACTATTTAAAGGACCATCTATGTTCAATAAATATCATAAGGACCTAAGAGCTATGGTTACGCAGCTAATAGTAAGGTTGGTTGATCTATTTCATTTTATATATTTTCATGTATATGGTTATATATATATTTATATTTTATATAGGTTACTTCAAAGAATTGATGGTAAGGTAGCTTCTGAACTGTAGCTCTTAGGTCTTTATGATATTTTTTGACTATTTGAGGACCATCTATGTTCAATAAATATCATAAGGATGGTTGTATATATATTTATGAAAGCTACAGTTTGCAGCTTAAATAGTAAGATTGGTTGATCTATTTCATTTTATATATTTTCATGTGTATGGTTGTATATATATTTATTTTTTATATAGGTTACTTCAAAGAATTGATGGTAAGGTAGCTGTGGAACCGTAGCTCTTAGATCTTTATGATATATTTTGACTATTAGAGGACCATATATGTTCAATAAATATGAGGACCTAAGAGCTATGGTTCCACAGCTAAAAATAGTATGGTTGATTGATCTATTTCATTTTATATATTTTCATGTGTATGGTTGTATATATATTTATTTTTTTATATAGGTTACTTCAAAGAATTGATGGTAAGGTAGCTGCAGAACCGTAGCTGTTAGGTCTTTATGATATTTTTTTACTATTTGAGGACCATATATGTTCAATAAATATCATAAGGACCTAAGAGCTATGGTTCTGCAGCTATAAATAGTAATGTTGGTTGATCTATTTCATTTTATATATTTTCATGTGTATGGTTGTATATATATATTTATATTTCATTTCAGAGTTCACTCACAGATGTTTAATTTGTAATTTTGGATTTTTGCCGATTCAGCTTAGAGAGGATGTTTCAGTCGTCGACCTTGAATATGGCTAACAGACCAGGGGGAGTGGCATATAGATTTCCGTAACTCTATACTATATACTCTATACTCTTTATATTTTATTTTTATCACAGATGGAGCTAAATCTACTGTAAGCTTTTAAGAGAGCCTGCTTTGATAGAAGTGACAACAATATTTCAAACATCACTTATCTTTATTATTTGTTTCCATTACAGAGTTCTTACGGAGATATATAGGTTACAATAATGTATTTATTATTTCTGATGGTCTTTATATGTCCTATGTGTGTAATTTTTTGTCTTAAAGAAATAAAATATGGTATTGACTATTGATTTCAATGGGAAAAAACACACAGAAGAAATCAACTTAAATACCTGCAAAGACTAATGGTATGATATTATACACCATTACATGTACATTGGCCAGTTGAATTCTTATCAGGATAATTAAAACAAAAATAATTAAAAAATAACTGTATTAGACATTATTAATGTTTTTCTAACAGTAGCCATGTGAAGGGTGAGAACATATTTTCCAAGTCAGAAAACTGAAAACTAAAAGTTGTGAAAACATCTAGCTACCCGACAGAGAATTATTTTACCAGTTTAATATTTAAAGATACAAGTATATTAACAAGATTTTCTATTAAAATGGCAATAGTAAATCCTGATATTGGAATAGAACTTCCAAGGGGAGACAAATTCAATAAACACCAAGATTTGTTAATTCAATGGGAGATAACTCTGTAAAATATGCAGATTTTAATGCAGTTGAAATTCAAATCATGATTCTTTGACTTCTTTTTTTTTTCCATCTTTATATTAATTTTACACACTTAGGTGTTGATGTTATACTATTGTGAACATGTAGTAAAAAATCAAAACAGTATTTAGTAAATGTTTATGTTTACATAAATGGATTTATAAAATATATAATAATGTATTAATTTTAATTCCTTTTTAGGTTCTTTCTGTGAAATGTTTTCATGGTGTTGGGAATAAGACTTTGGGGTCTAATACATCTAAAAGGAAGGTAAGTACCAGAATGTTATTCCAGTTTTGAAGAGAAAAAAAAAACAAATGTATTACATGTATAAAATTTCTTTGGAAAATTCTCTCTAGGCTTTTAGGAGTTAAATCATGTCTACTCTCTCATTTATCAGTACCAGTATATAAGTTAATTTTAGGATCTGATGTAATTATACCCCACACAACGAGTTGCGGAGGGTATAATGTTTTTGACCCGTCTGTCCTTCCGTCCGTCAGTCCTGTTTCTTGTCATCGCAACTTCTCTCAAACCACACAAAAGAATTTCACGAAACCTTTTTAGATAATGACACACTATGTAGATGTGCAAATCGACAGGAAATTACGATTCAATTCTTTTTCTAGGAGTTACGCCCCTTTGAACTTATTTACTTTAATGTACTACTGCAACAGTTTGTCATCACAACTCCTCTCAAACCACACAGAATTTCATGAAACCTTTTCAGATAATAGGGACATACTACGTAGATGTGCATATCGACAGGAAATTACGATTCAATTTTTTTTCCAGGAGTTACGCCCCTTTGAACTTATTTGCCCAATATACTACTGCAACCTTTTGTCATCGCAACTCTCCTCAAACCACACAACAGAATTTCATGAATACTTTTCAGATAAGGACATACTACGTAGATGTGCATATCGACAGGAAATTACGATTCAATTTTTTTTCCAGGAGTTACGCCCCTTTGAACTTATTTGCCCAATATACTACTGCAACCTTTTGTCATCGCAACTCCTCTCAAACCACACAACAGAATTTCATGAAACCTTTTCGGATAATAAGGAAATACTACGTAGATATGCATATTGACAGGAAATTATGATTCAATTTTTTTTTTCTGATACAATTTTTTTTTCTTACACTTATTTTATTTCTCCAATGACAATGTGGGGAGGTGGGGTATGTGAGCGCACTCACTAAGGTTCATTCATTACATAAAAGTTTGCTGGGTTGCTGGATAGCTGTCTAATCCACCTGTTATCAACATCTATTACACATTTATAGACTACAAAATGTACCAGTATTTATATTAAATATATATAAGTATACCAACAATGATCAGTTTAAACAATTTTTGATGATGAGGCATTTTATATTTCAGGTTAACATCATAGCTTGTCCGTAAGGATTGAGGTTGGGAATGGCCATTGGAGCTGACTTTTATGGTAAGAATCAGTACATAGATTTATGAACTATTTAACTTAGAGCATGTCACTAGAATTTTTCATGTTATAAGTGTATGTATAATTTGGAAGGGGGTATCAAGATACAAATAAGGGAAGTCAAAGATTTGAATTTTGGATATCTTCTCTCTGTTTTTTTTTTATCTAAATTAATCCCACTATATAGAAATTAAGAAATGTAGTATGATTGCCAATGAGACTATTAATCAACCAGAAACCACATGACAAGGATGTTAGCAACTATAGAATGCCATTTTATGGTCTTCAACAATGAGCAAAACCTATTGTGTATTGTAAGCTATATAAGGCCCCAACATGGCAAAATGTGAAATAATTCATATAAGAAAACCAATGACTTAATATAGGATAAAACAATAAACAAAAACAAAATATGATAGACAACAAACAACGACTTGTTTTTCGTCTTTTTTTGCCAACAAAGACTAGTAGTCTAAAAGTTATGTCCTCGAGTCACTTTAAAGCTAGGTAAAGAAATGTTATATGCATCATAATTGTAATGTCCAGTTAATTATTCTTTTGCATTAAACATTGTTTCAATTATTTTCACATAGATTTGACAGATATGTTTAAGAAAGAATATTTCTTTTGCAGGTAACTTTAACTGTGGCTGCATGAAAATGATTGGGTGACTGTACCAGTAAAGAATGTAATTCAGACAATTTTTGTGAATGTTTGAGAAAATGTTTATAATTTTTTACAAAAAAAAAATAGTGCAAAGATTCTCCATTTTCAACAAGATTGTAAGTTATAGATAACTTATTTTGAATTTTAAAATCTCTCATTTAACCATTAAAACCAAAGGATATATTCAGGTAGCTCTACTCATGTCCATTCTTGACAATTTTTTTGTCATGCATATTGATACTGAACTGGTTTTTGTCTCGCCTTGACGGAGTCAAAAAGCGAGACATAGGTATGCTGTTTCCGGCGGCGGCGGTGTCAACAATGTATTAGTTTGTGATTAGGTCTAGTTTATGGTGAACCACTAGTGGTAGGTCAATGATATTTAGTATGCAGTTGAATTAGCATTGGCACATCTCATTACCATGGAGATTATTTGGCCCTGCCCCCTCAGTCATGGTTTATTGACTTTGAAACTTTGCTTAGTTTTCATGTATTAGTTTGTGATTATGTCAGTTTATGGGGAACCACTAGTGGTAGGTCAATGATATTTGGTATGCAGTTGTATAAGCATTGGCATATCTCATTTCCATGAAGATTATTTTGCCCCGCCCCTTCAGTCATGGTCTATTGACTTTGAAACTTTTGCTTAGTTTACAGGTTAATGTTTGTGTTTAGGTTTCTTTAAAGGGAATGACTTATGGAAAAGTCAATGGCATTTGGTATGCAGTTGTATTAGCATTGGCACATCTCATTTCCATGGAGATTGTTTATAGCCCTGTACCTTTAGTCATGGTTCATTGACTTTGAATATTTGCATAACTTCCATGTAAAAGTATTGTTATTTTAATTTCAACATTTGCATTATCAAAATAACAAATAGGCAAGACATATCTCTGTGTTAACAGTTTATCGGTATGTATACTTTTGTTTTGAGTTCATAGTTCAGATTGTATTCATTATTTTTTTCCCCTGTTGCTAGATTTAATTGGTACTTTGAAAATTAATTGAAATGGACCACTTTTATTTGAAGACCTACTCTCTTAGATATATTAATAATGGTCCATGTCTAGTCAAAACACTTCCAGAAGTTAAGAATGGAGAATCTTAAAATAAAAGAAAAAATGAAATGTATATTTTGGCTTTCACCTTGTTAAATATATATCTTTTCCGAATTTTTTCGTTTTTTTATGCCCCTGCCATAGGGAAAGGAGGCATTAAGTGTTACCCTTGACGTCCTTCTGTCCTTTTGTTGTTCCTTTTGTCCCATTTTTGTTTCCGCACTAACTTTTAAGAGTAATGCCCCTTTATCAGTTGGAAAGTTGCAAATTTGGGCAGTGAGTCACTTACTTTTCTAGAGTTATGCTCCTTTTTACAATTTTTAAAATTCCAAAGCTTGAGCAAGGGCATCATGTCCTCAGACACATTCTTCTTTTATTTTTTAGCTGATTTTGATATAATTTATATTTTTATCAATTGTTTTGTTCTGAATAATTATACATATTTTTATACTGTCTAAAGTATACTTCCTGAGCATTAGGTTTTGGACTCAGGTTTCCAACATTTTCCCACTACAAATTCAGTTTTTAAAGAAGTTTGACCAAGTTCACTCGTTTTAGTCGGTTGTCATGGTTGTTCCTGGCAGGGAGATTGTTGATGATAGAGATTTTGTCATTATTTGGTATTTAACTTAAAATACAGCATAGAAGCATTTCATCAATTATGATTTTTATGATTATCTTTTATGTATATATGCTTACAATTTGTATACATGTATATTGTTTTAAAAATCATTAAAATCTGGTGTCCAGACGAGCTGTCTGGGTTATCAGCTACATGAATATATTGTTAGTTTTGTTTAAGCCTAAACATTTAAGGGATAGAAGTTATAGTAATATTATATGAATAGACTTGTTAATGAAATTTATTTGAGAACGTCATGGACCATTAAAGTACAGGTCAAGTTAGATTTTGATTTTTTCACAATTACTGTTCAAGATTTGCGGCTTGCCTTTGAAAATGTTATTTCTTTGATTTCTGGATGATAATTATAGTACCACTTGACCCAATCCTTTGAAATTGTACATAATATCATGGAACATCGAAAAACTGTTCAAGGTCCATTTTGATGTTTTGAGAATAACCGTTCAAGAGTTATGCCCCTTAGTTACCTTAAACATTTAACTTTCTTATTTCCACATGATAACGAAGTAATGTTTGACAAAAGCTATTTTGATTTTAACACTTAATTTATGATACACAAAATACTGTCCCATTCAATTTTGTTGAGCCTGCGACTTTTGTCGCAGAAAGCTCGACATAGGGATAGTGATCTGACAGCGGCAGCGTGAACTAACTTCTTAAAAGCTTTTATATTTTAGAAGGTGGAAGACCTGGATGCTTCATACTTTGTATATATATGCCTCATGTTACGAAGTTTCCGTCAGTCACATGTCCAATGTCCTTGACCTCATTTTCATGGTTCAGTGACTACTTGAAAAAAAAGTTCAGATTTTTTTTAATGTTAAATTCTCTCTTATTATAAGTAATAGGATAACTATATTTGGTATGTGAGTACCTTGCAAGGTCCCCATGCCCGTCATACAGTTTTCACTTGACCTCGACCTCATTTCATGGATCAGTGAACAAGGTTAAGTTTTCGTGGTCAAGTCCATATCTCAGATACTATAAGCAATAGGTCTACTGTATTTGGTGTATGGAATGATTGTAAGGTTTACATGTTCAACTGGCAGGTGTCATCTGACCTTGACCTCATTTTCATGGTTCAGTGGTCATTGTTTACGATGTACATGTCAGTCTGGCAGGTTTTATTTGATCTTGACCACATTTTCACGGTTCATTGCTCAATGTTAAGTTTTTGTGTTTTGGTCTGTTTTTCTAATACTGTATGCAGTAGGTCAACTATATATGGTGTATGGAAATATTTTACGATGTACATGTCAGTCTGGCAGGTTTCATTTGACCTTGACCTCATTTTCATGGTTCATTGCTCAATGTTAAGTTTTTGTGTTTTGGTCTGTTTTTCTTAGATACTTAAAGCAATAGGTCAACTATATTTGATGCATGGAATGATTTCAAGGTGTACATGTCTGTCTGGCAGGGTTGAAAGATATGATGCTGTATTGCACTAATTATTCTGCAAATTAAGTTCTTATAATTGATAATAAGCACAGCTGTAATTAGGGAATTTTGATTAGAATATTAGAAAATCATATAATTTTTTTAATATTAAAACTGATTTTCTAATATAAATCAATATTAAAAAATGGGAATAAATTCATCAACGGCTTGCCATATATATTAGGGTCTGGATGGGCGTCCTTAATTTCTGTATACTATAAATTTTTAGGGCATTTTTCTTTATCTTAAAAAATAATGCTTATTCCGTAAAATGCTCTTGAAAATTTTTTCTTATACTTTGCCTTAATGAAGATTTTACTATGCTTTTTTTTAGAAATATAATAAATAGTATGGGTAACTATTTTCCAAGCTACAAGTCGTGCAAAATTGCACAAATTTGCATAGATTGTTCATTGAAAAAACAATTTTGTGAATAAATAGAAATCTATGAGATAGAATTTAAAATAAAATATGAGAAGAAAGGTTTTATAATATGCTTTCAGAAAATAGAAAGAAAAAATGGTGTCACTGAACTTGTTTCTAAAAAATATCAATTTCTGATTCCAAACATTGAAGAAAAATATTTTGATCAGGGAGAAATGAAACACAAATTCTGAGTAGGAGTCTTTGCCTTTATTTGATGCTTGCGTGGTACCACCAAAAAATCAGATTGAACCCCCTCCCTCAAAATTAAATGGTTGTTCACACTCTTGAAAAACATGCCACTAAGGACTCCTTAGTGCACTAAGGACTTATAATATGCCACTAAGGACTAGAAGGGGTGCTGTTTCATGTACATTGTTTTTGTCGAGCCTGCGACTTTTGTCGCAGAAAGCTCGACATAGGGATAGTGATCCGGCGGCGGCTACGGCGGCGGCGGCGTTAGCTAACTTCTTAAAAGCTTTATATTTTAGAAGGTGGGAGGTCTGGATGCTTCATACTTTGTATATGGATGCCTCATGTTACGAAGTTTCCGTCAGTCACATGTCCAATGTCCTTGACCTCATTTTCATGGTTCAATGACTACTTGAAAAAAAAGTTAAGATTTTTTGTAATGTTAGATTCTCTCTTATTATAAGTAATAGGATAACTATATTTGGTATGTGCGTACCTTGCAAGGTCCTCATGCCCGTCAGACAGTTTTCACTTGACCTCGACCTCATTTCATGGATCAATGAACAAGGTTAAGTTTTGGTGGTCAAGTCCATATCTCAGATACTATAAGCAATAGGTCTAGTATATTCGTTGTATGGAAGGACTGTAAGGTGTACATGTCCAACTGGCAGGTGTCATCTGACCTTGACCTCATTTTAATGGTTCAGTGGTTATAGTTAAGTTTTTGTGTTTTGGTCTGTTTTTCTTATACTGTATGCCATAGGTCTACTATATTTGGTGTATGGAATGATTGTAAGGTGTACATGTCTAGCGGGCAGGTGTCATCTGACCTTGACCTCATTTTCATGGTTCAGTGGTCAAAGTTAAGTTTTTGAGTTTTGGTCTATTTTTCTAATACTATATGCAATAGTTCAGCTATATTTGGTATGTGCGTACCTTGCAAGGTCCTCATGCCCGTCACACAGTTTTCACTTGACCTCGACCTCATTTCATGGATCAATGAACAAGGTTAAGTTTTGGTGGTCAAGTCCATATCTCAGATACTATAAGCAATAGGTCTAGTATATTCGGTGTATGGAAGGACTGTAAGGTGTACATGTCCAACTGGCAGGTGTCATCTGACCTTGACCTCATTTTCATGGTTCAGTGGTTATAGTTAAGTTTTTGTGTTTTGGTCTGTTTTTCTTATACTGTATGCCATAGGTCTACTATATTTGGTGTATGGAATGATTGTAAGGTGTACATGTCTAGCTGGCAGGTGTCTTCTGACCTTGACCTCATTTTCATGGTTCAGTGGTCAAAGTTAAGTTTTTGAGTTTTGGTCTTTTTTTCTAATACTTTATGCAATAGGTCACTATATTTGGTGTATGGAAATATTTTATGATATACCTGTCAGTCTTGCAGGTTTTATTTGACCTTGACCTCATTTTCACGGTTCATTGCTCAGTGTTAAGTTTTTGTGTTTTGGTCTGTTTTTCTAATACTATAAGCAATAGGGTCAACTATATTTGTTGTATGGAAGGATTGCAAGCTGTATTACATGTCTGCCTGGCATTGTTCATCTGACCTTGACCTCATTTTATTGGTTCATTGGTCAATGTTTAGTTTTCTTGGTTAAGTCTGTATCTTAGAAACTATAAACAATAGGTCAACTATATTTAGTGTATTGAATGATTGTAAGGTGTACATGTATTTCTTGTTTGGTTTATATGACCTTGACCTCATTTTCTTGGATCATGTTAAGTGTATGTGATAGTTGTAGTAAAGCTTTATATTTAGGACTATCAACATAATATCAATGGTTAGTAAAGAAGGCGAGACATTTCAGCGTGTGCACTCTTGTTATATTATGGTAGAGATTGATATTTAATGCATAAATTCCAAATTTCATTAAAAAAAAAGAACCATAAATAAATGAGTAATTGAACAATGTTTAAGCACGTGCCGGTTTTTCTTTCATATTGCTGAAAATCAGTGAAATGATCGACACGAGCCAACTCACATAACAACTGATTAAACAAATTCAATCATAATCTTTTTATTTTAAGAAGTTGACAATTGTAAAGACTAGTGATTTATATGTATAATCAAATGTTTTTTCTTATTTACAATGATTAAAAGGACAAATCATTTTGCTTTAATTTGTTTTATTTCTCTTCTGACAAAGTTATTTGCTATAGGTGCATGGCTTTGGTGTGCGTCAGCTTGTAAAAATGTTTATTTATTAAAGAGGTATCAAGATAAAAGGAATAGATATATTTTTAATTTTTATTCCGACAAAGATGCATATATATACAAAATGGTTTCACTAAAAAATATGAGTAAATTTTGCATAACTATAAAAAAAAAAAAGCATAATGCTTGCTTTTTCCACTTATATTACTTGCTCCATAGTTATTACGAATTGCGATTATATTAAACTGAAAAAATCATGTGGTGTCCTTGTGTTTTATCAAAACCACTAGTTTTCAACAAGTTTGAAACTTGTTTACAGAGGCTTCATACTGTATACTTATTTATTTTTGTAACTGTTCGACATTTGTTTTATCAAAAAGTAATTTTTGTCATGATTGTATAGTATTAAGGTCTTTCCACTACGTTAGGAAAGACCTTATTGTTTTTTAATTGGTTATTTATTTGTAACACATGAAACCATAATGTCGGCAATAATTGAATTTGATATTCTATGCTCAAAAGTCTTTATATACAAATAATTCCCGAGACTTCAGTTGCAATGTTCTTATTATTTTCCGAATCGTATGTGTTAATTTAGAGAAAAAGATATAATTTTGTCAGAAAAAATTATGATTCTTACAAATTTTAACAGCTTAGAAAATATCCTTTTACCAAATGATGAGAAAATTATAACATTAAAATTTGTAATACTAAATACTTTATAATCTATTTCTAAAACGACTTCTAGTTCTGAATATGCATGAAATATTTGCCACTGGACGTTAATCAACCAACAATCAATCAATCAAATATGTATGAAATATTTGCCACTGGACGTTAAGCAACCAACAATCAATCAAACAAATATTGCACTAAAAAAATGAAATAAGCAATAAAAGCAACAATTTTA